TTTAAGGTTCAGTGTCTTGCCCCAGGACACTTGGACATGTGGACCTCCAATCTGCTGCTGAGCCACAGGTCACATCCTGGGGTCTCTTCCTAATGTTGTGTAGCTGTCTAAACCTTCTGTCAGATCCAGATCTGCTTTAGATGGCACAAAGTGAGGTGAATACACTGTGTGAGTTAAACATGTTTGAACTCGCCACAACAGAAAATGTAGGTTTTATCTGATGAAATGTCTTGATGGTCTGAATTACTGCACAACATGTCCTCCAACCTAAACAACCCTCTAATACACCCCAGAGGAGCGTACCAGCAACAGGTGTATCAGACCTTTGTCGCCATGGTTACAATAATAAATACACACTTCATGGTTATGGAACAGTCATGGTTTGACTACTTAGTTAAGTTAAAATATGGTTTAGGTTAAAATACATACTTTGTTATGGTTAGAGGACTTTCGTTGTCATGGTTACAATACTAAACATGCAGTTAAATAAAAGAAACAATGACTATTGAAAACAGTGGCCTGCCATGTCAGAGTCCACCCAGACCTCCTCCCTACAGACTTTGTGCCACTATACACTTCGTGACATGACTTCCTCCTTTGCTCCCGTCGAAATTACTACGGCCACTAGAGGTCGTCCAACAATAAAACCTAACCGTGGATCATGATGCGGATCTTGAACTCCATCAGCTTCCTGTCATCTGCTCAGTTCACTGTCATACTGAAACCAAAGTTTACTTCATCCTTACTTTATATCCAACAGAATCACCAGGGTTACAATGAAGCATGGTTTTGCTTTTTGTTTTTTTTCAATCACACCTGACCATCACCAGCTCTCAGCACAGTCAGACCACAATTCATTTCATGCTGAGACATTTTCACCTCCAGTCGTGAACTCACCCTCCTACTTCACTTCACATTCAATCTGACTGAACACACAAAATCACAATTCTCTCCAATGTCCAGCTGATCAGAGAGAGGGGTAGGGGCTGAACTACTGTTGTTTATATTCTTCAACGGCAGGAGTCTGTACTACGAAGCAGGACTTGAGGTTATCGAGGTAACTTCAGGTTATCTGGGTTTTCAACGGTGGTTCACTTGTTACCAGGGTAAATTACCATGGTAACTGATCCTGAACTCCTAACCTGCTCCAAAGCAGGTTAACTTCAGAGGATCAGATCAAAACCTGTCAACAGCCAGACTATCGACCAATCAACTCACTGGAGTCATCATTCCTACAGGATCCTGACAGGGACAAAAGAGTTCACAATAAAGTGATGAATAACAATGACAGTAGACATTTATATAAATCAGTGGAATCGTTTCACTGTTCCATACCATGTGTCCACTAAATAACTACATAATAATTATTGTAGCTTCATTTGACCTGAACACAGACTCTGTAATGGACAGGATTCCTGACAGTGATGAAGCTTTTACTCTCTTCTTCATCACTACAGCTCACAACAACATGAGGAGAAATCAAAACTAATGTGGTATCTTCCGTAGCGATGATGTGATGATGATGAAGGAATCTCCGCAGACACCGGCTCAGTTGTATATAAAAAGGTTTATTACAAGAAAGCACAGCATCTTTTAACAAGCATCAAAACTGCCTGTGAGAGCATCCAAAGCCAAAAAGGATCTTCTCCCGTTTTTCCCCAAAACCATACAATTTATAGGCTGGGTATCCCCTAGTTACATATTCATGACAAAGATAATTCCTAATAACCTATAGTGGCACAGAGCCAACATTTATGCCCAAACATGGTCATTCTATATGAAGTTAAAAGATACCCCAACTCCTTTTCACTTTAACAGATGTCAGCTTTTAGGAATGTCCGAAAAACAGAAAAGGAAGGGGTGCTCACCCTCCTCTGGCGCCTGACCTTTCCTAGGGTCTTCTCCTAAAAACACTCCCATCCTTAAATCACCTGATAGCTGGGACACAACACTAAACCAACAATGATCCACACACTGTTCACTGTTTCCATGGTTATAAATGAACATTTCAGTCGGACTGACTCTTTTCTTTCTCTCCTCTCTGCAGCAGAAACAGTCTGACATGAACTTTAACTGTTTGATCTGCTTCACATGTTCATAACAGTTTGTTCATCATCAGACAAAAGAGGGAAAAACTCACACGCAATGATAATTCATGTTCTTATTTACAACATATCTTTAGTCTGACTTTAATAGAAATTATATTTAGAAATAGATTTTTGAAAATTCTAGTGTTTCACCTTGTTGAATTCCACTTTATGACGTCACTATAACTGAATTCACCTGCAGGTATCAGTGTTTCTTCTCATATCATATTAATACTTTATTCATGGTTCAGACGATGTTGCTTATAATGAACAACTCTGCCTCTTTCACATGAACCAGCTCGTACCTGGACAGGTGAACTCAGAGTTAACTGAGCCAGCTGATAACCAGCTTCGTAGTACAGGTTATCAGGATGGTCAATGTAGGTTCAGTTAACCCAGATAACTAAAAGTTATCCTGGGTTTGTTGAACTTGCTTCGTAGTACAGACCTCTGGTGAAATAATCTGAGCAGCAGCATTTCTAGTCCCTCCTGCTTTTGTCCACGTCTGGTCTGAGTGCACCATCATTCATCAGCTGTGCAGTTGTCACCTGACTACTAACAACCAATCAAATCAAAACAGGTGTACAGAGAAGCCTCATGCAAACACTGTTTGCTGCTGCAGCTCCCTCCACCAGCCCAACCTCCTCCCTATACAGAGCATTCAGAAGTCTCCAGAGCCCTCACTGTTTTACATTTATGCTAAAATCATTTAGTAGAAACTGAAATCTTACATTGACATGAGTATTCAGACACTTTACTATGACTCTGTAAGTTTCGCTCAGGTTCCTCCATTTCTCTGGATCATTTATGAGATGTTTCTCCACCTTGACTGGAGTCCACCTGTGGTGAACTCAGCTGATTGGACATGATGTGGAAAGACACACACCTGTCTGTATCAGGTCTCACAGCTGAGAAACAGATCAGATCAGAAACCATGAGGAGGAAGGAACTGCTGCAGAGCTCAGAGACAGGACTGTGTCGATGCACAAAAACATTTCCAACACTGGTCTCCATCATTCTGACATGAAGAAGTCTGGAACAACCAGGACTCTTCTAGAGCTGGACCTGGAATAACTGAGACATCAGAGAGAAGAGAGACCAAGAACCTGATGGTGACTCTGAGCTCCAGAGAAACTTCCAGAAGGACAACCATCACTGCAGCTCTCCACTGATCTGGTCTTTGTGTTAGAGAGTCCAGACGAAGCTTCTCCTCAGTGACATTTGGTAAAGAAGCAGCTAAAGGATTCTGAGACTGAGAGGAACCAGATTCTCTGGTCTGATGAGACCAGGACTGAACTGTTTGGTCTCAGGTCTAAGAGTCAGGTCTGGAGGAAACCAGGCACAGCTCATCACCTGATAAACATCATCACAGTGACACATGGTGGAGCAGCAACAGGCTGTGGGGGGACAGGGAGACTGATCCAGGAGCAAAGTACAGAGAGGACCTTAATGAAAACCTGGTCCAGAGCTCAAGACCTCAGACTGGGCTGAAGGTTCACACAGTCAAGACAACACAGGAGTGGCTTAGAGACAACTGTCAATGTGACTCAGCCAGAGCCCTGACTTGAACCCAATCCAACAACAGAGACCTGAAAAATGTCTGTCCACCAATGTCCCCATCCAACCTGACAGAGCCTGAGAGGATCTGCAGAGAAGAAAATCCTCAAATCACAAGCTTGTTGTTTCAGACCCAAGAAGTCTGGACGCTGTAATCACTGCCAAAGTTGCTTCAACTAAATCCTGGGGAAAGTGTCTGAAAACTTATGTCAATGTGCTATTTTAGTTTCTCTTCAAAAAAAAAATCAGTTTTTTTGTCCTTATGGGGTATGATTTTAGCATAAGGCTGCAACATAGCTAAACAAAAGGGGGCTGAAGACTTTCTGAACGAACTGTTTGTACTGAGATTCTGCAAATGTTGATTAAACAGATGAGATGGATTGTTTGGGGGGAGGGGGTTAGTTCTCCAGCACAGTCAATGTTATAAATGCTCAGTTCCCTGACTGAAATGCAAATACACAACATTCTCCCCGGCCCTCGCCTACATCACACAGTGACACTGATGGTATGTGACTGAGCGGTAGCATGACAAATACAGCAGCTCTTTGTCATTATGGACACTTAACAGACTGAAACCTGGAGCTTCACACATCCTGAACTTGAGGTTTTTAGCTTCTGCCTGTTTCCAAACCACAACCTTTGAGATATACGTGAATTTAAAGATCAGTTTGCTGCTTTAAAGCCAGTTGTTGCACACCTTAAGCTACATGTGGTTTAGTTCCTGTAGGGGAATGTATTGCAGAGGAGGTGTTTATAGGTGGAAACACTCGTACGAGCAGCTCTCTTGCTTCAGGTGCTTTCCGTTCAGACCATGTGCCTCTCTTCCCTCACTCACATTCACTCCTGCATACGAATGGGCCTCCAGGTGAAGCTGCTCGCTGGCAGGTGAACATTCACTGTGTGCATCATAGGACAGATGTGGCTGTCTACTCACTGCCCAGAGCGACAACACATTTATCACCAGAACTCTATGTGAGGAAGAAATATGGGCAGCAAAAAGAAATATGAAAATGAAGACTGGTTCTGTCACTATACTGATGTACTGATATGTAAGCAGTGTCTTAATGTTGTGGGTGGTCCAGGTGGCACAAAACAACACCTCATCTGCAGTGTAAATTATGAGGTACAGTACTTCTCTTTGAAAATAGTTAAGTGTGGTTTCACTAAATAAAAATACAACACAACAGAACAGATACAATAAATAACAGGAATGTACAGCTCTTCAATAAATGCTCTGGGAGCTCCTGTATATATTCAGATGAGTTAAGGCAATAATAAATGTGAATATGTGAAGCAGCAGGAGACAGAGGCTGGTGTGTGGTGTTGGCTCGATGGAGGTGTATGAGCGGGTGTTACCTGGAAAACATGTCTGCAGGTGTTCAGTTAGGGCCTCCTGAGTGACAGGCTTATGGGCGGAGTTCATAGCAGAGATAGCCAATAGCAATACCTCTCCCAAAGGGATGAACTGCGATTGGCTGATGGGGGACATACTGATGGGTGACACATCACCTGTGAAAAGACAGAAATCGGTCACTTGGGTTTAGAATGAGTGAGACTGGATTCAAACATGCTAGAACCAGAACCTGAACTGGAACATGGTGCAGTGTCATGTCCCAGATCTGACTTTTTAGATGCTGGAGAAATAATGCGCCACCTGTCCCAGCTGTCACATATCCATCTCTCCCCCCATTTACCCAATAAAGGCAGAAAATTCCAACAAAAAAAAAACAGTAAAAAAAAGACATTAAATCAAAATCACTCTTTTTCTGCCAGAGCATGTAAACATAAACATACATGAACATAGTTACATCCTGCCTGGTTGAGACTAAGGCACAACATGTAATTAGAGATCCTCAGCAGCACCAAACACCAGCCTCCAACACATACATTTAATGTAGGGATGGACCAATATGGTTTTTTCAGGGTGCAGATAATGATTATTGGTAATCAAGGAGACCGATAACCGATATTTGGAACTGATATGCACACACAAAACTACTGCTGTAGGACACTCACCATGGCATCCAGGTGTTTCTATTATTTTGTCCAGCCCATTTATATCAATGAATGTACGGTAAATAACAGAAACACCTCTGTATAATGTGATACACCTCCAAACACAACATCCTACACAATGATAATCAACAACTGTCTAAAACTATCTTAATAAAAACCAAACAATATAACCTCCATGATACTGCAGATTATCTAGATGTTCCTAATAAACTGACAGTGTGTAGTGTATATTAGTAATTATCAGTTGTATGCACAGGCTGCAAAGAGCCTGAATGGAATTAACTGGTTGATTTTGGTGCTATGATTTAATAGTTTTATTATATATTATTATTATCAACGAATAAGACATTTTACCCCTCCCCTTTTAAAATGTAATGCAGTAACACATTTACTCAGAGATATTTTATTTCATCGGTTATTGGTTAAAAAAAACATAACGATACCAGTAATTGGAAAATGCTGAATATTACCATCAAAAATCGGTTGAACCCTAATTTAATGTGAAACACAACAATTTGATCAAATGTAATATCTTTCAATTATTTACAACAACCGGCCAGCTGGGGCCGCTCTGTGTGGAGTGTCTGTGCGGGTTTCCTCTGGGTGCTCCAGGTTCCCTCTACAGTCCAAAGAGCTGCTTGTCTGTCTCTTAAGTGTCAGTCTTGTGGTTGACTGGTGGCCTGTTCTAGTGGATGCCACCTCTGGCCAACTGTCAGCTGGGATGGGCTCCATTCCCCGTGACCCTCAAGGATAAGCAGTATAGCTAATGGATGCACATTTACAGCGAGTGGGAGCATAGAAGTGAACTATATACTGATGGCACACAAGTTGGAATGCTCTGCCTTTACTCTGCCATACTGTATAAAAGGTACAAACACGGGATGAGAGGCATTGTTGTTCTGCCGGCATGGAGCCAGCATGGAGGTAGTCCCAGAGCCAGATCCACTTCTGTGTAAAAGATAGACCCAGCATGGTGGGACAGATGCTGACACTGTTGTGCTGCACGTCAAACTTCTGATTCTGAAACACTGGTATTCTACCTGAAATCACATCTTGGGTAAACAAGCAAAGGCAACCCAATGATGGGTCTTCTTCATGGTGACATGGTGGGGTCTCTGTGTAAGAGGGGCTTGTGATGTGTCCTTTGACCTCTTCATTTTCACGTGTGACAATGCTACTGTACAGAGACATATGAAGTCAGTTACAACGTATCCTTCTCTGATTCCTTTTGCTCCTATCACATGGCCCTTTTCTGGGTGAGAACAACGATTCTCAGTCTGTGTTTTCTGCCGCCATGATGCCTGACATTCATGTTCTACTCTCAGTAACAGTTCCACCTCGACGATGGTCAAATCAAAGAAATCTCTGGTCTTACTTTTTGCCTTTGCTGTTCCTCGTTTGTAGTATTTTCTGCAACTGTTCAACTGACTGCAGACCAGACAATCTGCATCCTGTTTACAGCAGCATGTGCATGCCCAGTGTCATGTGATATGCGTTTTCAGGCGTGTTAGTAAGGACATTATTTCTGATACAGAGCTAAAGCACCTGGACAGAGATTGTTTTCATTCTGAATGAAAACATACTAGTGTGGACGCAGAGTCTGGTGTTATTCTGTTAGTCTATAAGCCTGGTGTTATTCTGTATTTTTCATGAGAAGAGAAAAATCAGCATGTGTCTGTCTCAGTCAGTCAGTACTTTCTGATATCCCTCCTCTGTCTGTGGCTCTCTGCTCTGAACTTCTTGGTTGCAGCTGAAAACAGAAATCTTTAAAAACACAAATATATCGCTTTGCTTTAAAGAAAAGTCTCAGTTATCTCCTCAAGCAGCTGATCGCTGTCGTTTTAAACAAATTGAAGGAAATAGTGCATCTGTTGGGGACTATTTTCAAAGGCGGATTAATCCACATTTGGTGTTGTAGTGAGTATTTGGGGCAGTGGACGTTGTGTGAGAGTCTAAATTAACTACAGTGTGTGTGTTCATGATGATGTAAGAACATTACCATGAACACAGTGTGAGTCACAGATGTGTTTTAATAGTTGTTGGACAACAATGGAGCTGTGTGGCTCAGAGGGATGAGCTCTATCAGCTGTAGGTACACACACACATTCACTGCTGTTGTCTGTTGTCTCACATCAGGGTGATGTGGAACAGTCTCCTGAATATGCTGATCGATGTACTTCCTTTTCCTTTGCAGAAAGGAGGAAGATGCTGCTTGACGGACAGCTCCAGACAGTGGGGGGAGCCAGATTTAAGTGACTTGTTCTCACTTGTTGAGTTGGTTTTTTACACCTGACTGAAATCTGATCACAGTGTGAGCCAGACCTCCAGATGTTATCTGACTGATCTGATCTCATTTCAATATATTCTGTTGCATTTAAACCAAAATGAACATGTGCTTCCCCATCAGATACACAGATCACATGTTAATTCCAGCTGGAAATTAGGCTACGTGCACAAATGATTTCCTTCTAATGAGTCCCAGAAGTTATTGTACCTTCCTCCGGCTTGTTGTATAACGTCACTATGCAATTTAAATGTCCAGAAAAAGTATCTGGACACTGAAGATGTGATGTTCATGTCAGTGGACAGCAAGATATTTGTGATGGATTTATACTAGGGCTGAACAGTTGTCAAAATATTATCAAAAATCACAATGTGGCCAAATGCAATATCCAAATCACATGAACTGTGCCTTTGCTAAAGGTAAAATGTGTCACAATAACAGACCATAAATGAAGCTTTGAAGACGCCCGGCCTACACATCATAATCTCCACGTGTAAAGGAACATGCTTGTTTGGGTCCCAACAAAAATCACATCATCATCATGTTTATATTTTTTCAATTAAAATTAAATACAAAAATGACCATATGACTCATGTCGTCATATCTGCCAAAATAATCACAATATGATATTTTTGTCATTGTCATCATTGAGCCCTAATTACTACGTCCACACTGATATGTTTTCATTTTAAAACTGCAGTTGATTAGTTGCACAAAATCCACTGAATGAGGAACAGTAAAGACAGTTGTAGCATTAAAATACTGAATTTAGGATATATGGAGTAGTTAGTTTCCAAGAAGCAGGGACTTCACTTTCTATTCAGACAGACATACATCCTATTCTAGGATTGATTATTTCTTTACCCCAAAGGTAGAGCTACATAGGATAGTGGAAATTGAGATACCGCCTATCACTATTTCTGATCATGCACCTGTTTCACTGAAAGAGATATAGGACATAGACCAACAACCAAACAATGGAGACTTAATACATCATTCCTTAATGACAAAGAATTTTCCTCCTTCATTACAGATGAGCTCAAGAAATATTTAGATACCTATTCCTCCTCAGAAAGGACACCTGATATTGTAGGATTGTGCCAAAGCATATATTAGTGGCCGCGTTATTTCATTCACATCTACAAGGATAACAGAGAGGGATGCCAGAGAGCGGGAATTAGAAGATAAAATAAAAGAGTTGGTACATAAACATAAACAACCTGCATCGATTAGTGTCATAAATGATTTAAATGCAACTCATAGACAACTTAATAGTCTGTTATGAGATAAGGTTGAGGGAAGCTTAAGATTCACTAGCCAAAAATACTATGAATACGGAAACAGAGCAAGTAGAGTATTAGCATTTAGACTGAGAAAACAACAATCTTCTAATATAGTACAGCAGTGTTTCCTCTACATTCATTTAGCAGTGGTGGCCCGCCACTGCTAAATCATAGCCGCCACGCCTTCAAATTTTTATTTTTTTTTTTTATTGTCGCAAATGCACCACCACCACATCTCTCCACCTTCACAGCACAGCCTGTGTGATGATGAGCGCAACAGCGGGGGGAGGGGAGGAGAGGGGAGGGAGGGAGTGGGGTGGTTGGGGGATCCTATTGGAGTTAATTACTCGCGAGAGCGCGGCCTTGAAAGTGACGTCACGTCAGACACCAGGTCAGAGTCAGAGAAGTGTAGTCGTGAGGAATAAGGCAGCGAATTACCGGAGAAAAGGTAAACTTATTAGCCAACTCAGTGACGCTAACTTGGGTAAACTAATTGATAGCATTGAGCTAATATCTACACGTCATTATGTATTAACTGCTGACTGCATTTTCAGATGAGCTTGTTCAGATACTTCTCTAAGAAGAGAAAGACAACAGATGAAGAAGACGCTAGTCAGGTAGCCTATCATAAGCCTTTTACTGACTCGTAAATGATGATGGTTAGGTAAAAAATAATATTTTAATGTTCACACTTGTAATCAGATGTGATGTGAGTGTAAACTATATAACGCTGAAAATCAAGTGCTCTGAGCCTGGGTGCAAACTTTGCCACTGACTCTACAGCCCCATCTAGCTCATCTTTATATGTTTATTTAATATTTTTATTTATTTAATGTTATTGTTTTATTTATTTTTTACTTTTTACATTTTCAACTGGTTAGAGTTGAAGTAACATTTATTTTTCACAAAACAAAGGTATTTATTTT